TGTAAAGAAAGAAATAAATGCATGTCACAAATAAGCTAGAGAATCTTGACAGAAAATTATTTGTAAAACTTAGTGTTATTCCAAGAAATACAGAGTTCACCCCTTACATCTAGTATTTTGCTAAACAAAATCCTTGGAAAATGGTTCAAATCGAAGAGTCTACATCACAGATTTCTTAGTAAGTAAATGTCTGTAAGAACTTATCGGGCTTTGATGATTTGTGAAAAGTTTTATTGATATTTTTTTGAAGATTTTATGACTTGAAAAATGTAACTTTCAAGATCACGTCTTACTGTCTCCATTTGTACTGAAGTTAGTAAATCAAATATACTGTGAAAATATGTTTAGCCTTTGAAAATCCTGTGCACATGTAACTGATTATTTGATATTTAAATATTGCATATATTTTATTTCAGAAAACTTTGAAAGTTTCGGTAGCACTTATTATTCAGGGATATTTTAAAAGAAAAATTATGAAAAAAGTCTTAAAAATGATTAGGCAATTAAATAACACAGATATTTGAATATTCAAATATGAGTCATATATAAAGGGATAAAAAATCTTATTAAATCTGATCTGTAAAAATTTATTGAGTCAATGAAGTATTTACATGATAAAGAGGCGAGGTGTAATTGTATTTAAAGAGTCAGAAATCTTACATGAAACTTTTCAGACATAGTAAACAATGTTTAATAAATACCTTTAAGTTATGATTGTGTACCATATTTTGTTTCAGATTTATATTATTGTAGCTCCCAATTTCTACCATTTTGTGTGGGGAGAAAACTGACTTTATATAAAGTATAGCCATGACCTAACACCAGGCTGTGGTGTTTTATTGTATGTAGTTTCCTTTTTATAGTTCCAGTCACTTGTGAATTATACATATATCCAACTAACTTTTTACCTTACAGTGGGCAGAAAAAAAAATATCAACTATAGGATGAAGAATAAAAGTTCATAAAACTGAAATGTTTGTAGTTACAGTGAAGCTATTCTGTATTTATAAACCTAAAGATACTGGTAGAACATTTAATATTTAAAAGGTTTATAATTGATCATTTATGAAAAGGATGAGAATGATGTGATATGTAAAACAAAAATGAGAATGAGGTATCAAAGTGAATATTTTCCCACTCGAATTTATAATTATCAATATTTTAAGGAACATATAGATTCAGAATTAATTTCATGATAGATTTTGAGAAGTTTTAAGGAGTTTCTTTTTGGCACAATCAAAATATTATCGTAGCAATTCAGATTGTCAGTAAAAGCTTAAACAAATTTGCTGATAATCCTGTTAATGACCTAGGTCAAGTGTTAACTGTTGTGGGTTATAAAATAGTAAAATTAAGGTTTCTCTTACCTTCAGGCAAATAGCACAGTTAGTAGTGTGGTGGTGGTGGGAGGGTAAAAGCAAGCTTTTAGGAGAACTATTAAATTACAAAATTGTATAATGCATTCAATTATTTAGTCTAGCATGAAGAAATGCTATTAAAAGCTAACGTAAACCTTTAAAAAATTCCTATAAAGATGATAGCATTGTTCTCCATTCATATTTCAATTTAGTACATTCTTATTTGAGAATAAGTTTTTATATATATGAAAAGCAATGCCATTTCATAGATTTTTAGAAAAGAAACAAATCCATTACTTACATACTTTTTTCCAACATTTGCCTACTACCCAAAGGGAAACATATAGCTTTCATCCGTAAGTTTTACTTTAAGCTTTAACTAATCACATAGTCTCCTCTAGTACTTAGAAGATTTATGTTCAAGGAAAGGCATTTCATAGAAACAGTATCTCAGCCACTTCAAAAGAAAGGAAGTCTTCCAAAATAAGTAGTATATAAATACGAAGATTTAATTTCATTCAATTTTATTTTGAAAATTTGGAGCTTCAAAGTAAAGAGTTCTATGAGTAAATGTTAAATCTGAGTTGTGAACACTTTTAGATGGAAAAATGTTTAGTGTAGAAAATAGTGATGAATAAACAGTGCATTCAGCTTCATATGGGTTGATAATGTATTAATGTGTTTAGAGAGAGTACTTTGCCCAATTTTAAAGGAGACTGAACTAGTAAGACTCAATACCTTCACTGTATATTAAGTTTTGCTTCTTTCTGAAGTTCGTTCCATCTATCATTAGTATAAATCTATCTGATGGGCACAGGGACCAAACATATGATATTCTCTAACAAAAATATGGCATAACATTCAAATTTTGTAATGAAAAGTAGTTGATTTCCTATAGAAAATTTTGTCTAATGTGAACAAAGAAACCTGATGAGAGTTTTTAAAGTTTTTATAAAGTTCTGTTGAACTATACAGGCCAGCTCTTTATGTAAGTGATCACTGAAATTAGGAACATCTATTATCATTTTGAAGCCAATGATAAAATGTATCACCTGGAATCATTTTCCTTATAGCATAAAGCAAGTCATTGCATTTGAATTACTAAGTGGAATGATAATTTACATTTCTTATCAGGTACTTATGCTATTTTAATATTTATAATAATGATTAAATCTCAAATTTAAAAAACTCATAATGACAAGATTTTGGTCAACCAGCACAAAGGCCAGGTTTTGTTCGTTTATTTCTGTTTTCCTGACATAGTAGATTGCAGAATATATTTAAGCAAATATACTCTAGTAAATATCTAGTAAAATTCCTATAGTGTTGAAACATAATTTTAGCATATTTTAAAAACAAATTAATACTATTTTAAATTTCAAAAAATGTATCAGAAATCTACATAAATATGACTTATTTTATCATTTCCTCCTACATGTGACTTTTAAGAAGCATTGTCCTGTGTTCACATTACTTTCTTAAAAGAATTGCATGAAATCTTGATACATTCTTACCCTTTATGATTTTCACATTATCAACTCAACTACTGTGAGTCAAGCTATTAGATTAATATTTATGCCTCACTCATAAAATTATTAAAATAATTTAAATAATTATTTTAAATTTTGGTTTAAAGCTTCTCTTGATGACCTCAGAAGGAAAAGGAGACATTACCCACAGGATGCAGTCAGGAAAGAATAAACCCATGAACAATAGATAAACTTTTATCCAAGGAAATTAAATGCAATTATATCAGTTTTCTGAGTATATTTTCCTTCCTATGTACTTAGTACTAATATATACCTGTCTGTGCAATTATATATAGACATGCCAAGGTGTGGCTTAAAAGCAATTAACACTTGATTATTCTTGTTTCATTAAATTAATACTCATTAATTTTACATTGGTGTGAATAAGATTAAGAAGTCATTTTTTGCAATTTCCTGAAAGGTTATGTCTTCCACAAAGCTATGACTTTCAGCTATATTCTTGCGCATTATTAATTCTGTAATACCCATCATCTACATAGTTTTTATACATTCCACTTGAAAAAATAGATTTATCATAGCATTGTGGGGATTTTGATGTTATTTTCTATTTACTGGTGATACTTTAATACGACCAAAAAGCAAAAGGGATTTTTAAACAATAAGGTGAACTATTGACATGTATGTATCTTACAAATAATTATTCTTGCTTTTTGTTAATGATGAAGGACTATTATTTTCAAATAAGTATTTTAATTTGGGTTGGTAAAATACATTTGTGAGCACGATGATTTTATCTTCACATTTTAAATTTTTTAACTTCTCTATTAAAGTAAGACATAGAAATATTTAATGAAATTTGCCAAATTGATAAAGGCAATGACTAAGGAAAGGAAGAAATTCAGTTACTCTAATAGCAGTGAAAGTAGGTCAACATATATGAGAGGTAATTTTTCTATTTAATGAAATAATGTATACAATCTGCTACAGTATTGGTTCAGCGATGTAGTTTTTAGTGAATGATATACGCCTCAGTATGTTTGTACATCAATTGCTCAGTATTGTTAACTTGCAAAATAGATTAAGAAATGTTATAAGTTCAAAATCATTATCAAGAAATCAAAGTTGTAAGTGTTGCTCTAACGCAATCAATCATTTAGAGAAGTTTGTCTTAAAGACTTAGTGATTGCATTCAGAAATCATTAGGAATAGATTGCAGAAGACACAGAGGGAAAAAGTGATTTATCTATTAACAACACAATCCTATAAGAAATAGTGTCCTTAGTATTAGGTTTGCATTTAATACACTGAAAAGTGGTGAATGCCCATTAAAAGAAAATAAATAATCCAATATCAAGGAAATGCCATTTGCTGCATATAAACATTCTTTCTTAATTTGCTATTCAGTTATTTACGATATCTACCCAGGAGCTATTCATTAATCATTCAATATAGTCTCCTATTTGTATATAAGCCATTAAACAAAAAGGAATCCAACCAAGCTTATTGTAAATTCCTGCAAATATTACTTATGTTAATGTGGCATATGCTGCTCATTAGAACCTGCACCACAGAGCAAACTATCGCCCGGCGGGCTACACATCACTTCAATACAGCAGTGTCACACACACACACACACACACACACACACACACACACACACACACACACCTTAGCTTCAACAAACTGAGTTTCCTTTAGTGCATTCACAAATACCACGATCTTAAGTAGAAACAACCTGTCATTATCTTTAAACGTACTACGGAATCTAGAAAGAAGGATTTGATTTTCTTTTAAACTTCTCAGAGTACCACATGGACGTAATTAAAAAATAAAATACTGCCTTGGCTATTCGGCAATTAACATACTGAGCTGTAAAACTGGAGGGGTTTCTTTCTTTCTGCTTCAAATTGGCAAACAAGGTAATTGCTTGAATTGCTGTAAGATTAAAAACACACTCTGAAGGTTGTGACAATCCAAAATTATCTCCCAAAGTGTTTTAGAAGAGAGCGGAAAATAAAAGCACATCTTCGGTTTACTGGGCGCACACTGCTCCCTTCCGAGGCACCAGTGGAGGAAACGCTTCGGAGAGAGCGCGCGCTGAGGCGTGCGGGCCGGGTCGGGACCTGCGCTCCGGTATCGGTACCTGGCTTACCTTCATTGGAAGGCTGGAGAATCAGTTCCCCGAAGCAGCTGAAAAGAGAGCAGCCGAGCAGGAGGATGGAGAGGTGACAATCCATGTTGCTGGTGCAGAGGGCAGTGAGAGGAGCATATCTCCACGAAGCATGCCACTGATGTGAGGGCGAGCCTTCCGATTGCTGGAGAAGTTACCATGCTCCGCTCGCAGGCGGATGTCAAGTTTGACACTGGAGATAAGGAGGAGTCTGGCTGCCTTTCCGCGAACCTCGCTCGGGGACGTCTCCGGGTCCTAGTGCCATCGGAAGCGCGCGGGAAGCAGAGGAGGTCATCGCGCGGCTCTCAGGCGTCTCTGATGCACTGATCCTCTGAGGAAGGGGCTGTGGTGGGAGTGGGGACCGTCGCCAGTGGGGTAGGAAACGCGGAAGTTGTGGTGGGACGCTGGTGGGGTGTCGTGGTGAGAGGAGCAAAGCACCTCTTTCTTTACTTTCCATAAAAAAGTAGCTATTTTATTGTTTGCTGTACAGGCTCTGTACCTTAATTTCCTGAAGAAACTGGAAAGACTGTCAGGGGTGTCATATGGCAGCACGAGTGGAAAAGAAAACGAAATGCCAGAGAAATGTTTGTTATTAAAGGCAAGGGGCTTTCATTTTAAAAGGCTTCAAGGGTGATTGCATATTTGAAAGGAAAAGAAAAGTAGTATTATTCCTCTCCTATGTTTAATGGGATCATAACTCACGTTGTGGTTCAGAAAGACACTAATAGACACAGTACATCAGAAAGTCCCTTCAGGTCTACACGGAAGGATATTAGGCTTTTAAGTAGCTTTGACACAGCGATTTCAGTGCTTATAGGGTACACTTAGGTGTTTCCAAACTGGGAAGCAATTTTCATCATGCTAAAGAAGTGAACAGTCCTAGCCCTAGCCGTAGCTGTGGGTCAGCATTCATCCTTTTCCTATGCTACAGTGGTAATAAACATTAGCCCTGAAGTTCTCCACAAAACATGACCCCTCCCCTCACCACGTAGCAGGAGGTTGTCTGGATTCTGTAAGAGAAACAATACATAATTTATAGCTCCCAGTTCAGCGTTTTAACCACCAATAATCAGATAACATTTTCACACTGTTCCTCAACATTACAAATCCAATGGCTAAATTGTGATGTACTTTCTCTCTTACTTTACACTCTGACTATAAAAGGCCTTGAATCTCCAGCCTCCTTGGTGGGCAATATAACTGTCATGTATTTCAGCCAAGTAATTTTATAATTTAAATTTTAAGACCAATTCTCACTTATCTTTTAAATATTCTCCAGAAAGGATTACTCACATATCCTCCCACCAAACTATCTTTTTGTATCCCCAAAAAAGAATACAAAATTATTACATTCTTTGCACAACTCCAAAGAGGAAGAGTATATTGACAGACTCAAGATAGGTGACCAATTTTAGAGCTCTAGAAAGTGGAAAAAAGAGACTTTGAAAAGGCCTTGATAATGTTATTCATTTCATAAATTCTATGTTTTTAATGGGAGAACAAAACTTTCACTTGAATTTAATGTCTTCTGATACCAATTGTTGCCTTGGTTGTTAGAGCACAGATGGATAGAGAAAGCTAAGAGTATCAGTGTGACCCTGTTCATTTTTCTGCTTGTGACTTATCTGTATCTCTTAACTTCTTCCCACATTATGTCACCAGGGTCTATAGAACCCTCAAGTGCCAAGTCTGTCAGAATTGAGAGTTAGGGGATAGTGCCCAGAGAACAAAGATAACAGTGATTCTGTGGCAATCTTGAAAGCTCCAACACAATAATTACATTATTCTAGGTTTAGATATGATTTCCCTGGAATTTGGAAAGAAACCAAATCTTTTCTGAAGTTGACAAAAAACATTTCAAAAGAGCATCCTACTGTGCTGTTATGAACATACATTGTGCTGCATCCCCAATTACCTCTCTTTTCACACTTAGAAATGGTTTGTGACTGGAAAGAGGCATTCATGTTTAAAGAAAGGTACAAGAGGGTCAAAATGAGTAAAAAGCATTACCTGGCTTGAAATGTAATGTACACAATATAGGATCTCTCAGTTGTAGCCTTCCTAAACCCAGAGTCATCAGACAGTAAGTGCTCGTACAATCTGAGCACCATTCTAGACAGAAGTGGAGTAGGTGTTGACAACAAACAGAAGAATGATTCATTTGGCCATAATAACAGTGAGAAGGTAGAAATGAGGGCAGCAGATTCTCATCAAGAAAGTGGCAGCTGAGTTGCAACTTTAACAATGGGTAAAATACTGCAAGCAGGGAAATTGAACATTTAAAAAAATCAAAATAATGCCCAGCTGATGGCAAAGAGATCAGCACCTGGCACACATGAAGGTGCCAGGGTATTTGTGATACAGAAAAAGTGAAGACCAGAGGAGGTGGTGGAAGTGGAGGATGAGTGGGGACAGAGCGCAGAAACTGTTCTTCAAAGGGCAGGTGGAAAAGTGGGCCAAGACCTCTGTCATCTGTCAGTTCTTTGATAATGTATTGTAAACTTAAAAGAAACATCAAAAACACTTAACAAGCAATAAATAAATAATAACTGAGTTTTAGGACAATATTTTCTCAATAGCATAGAACGATGTCTCCAACTGTGGCATCCTGTGTGGACCACCTGGTATGGAAGTATTTGGGTTGTTTATTAAAAACTGATGTCCTCTTTCCTCCCACAGACTTACTGAATCTCAATCTCTGAGATTAGATCCCAGCAATCTGCTGCTGGGCCAGATTTTCAGGTGATCCTGGTTGTCCTCAACTTTTGAGAACCACTCGTGAGTGGCAAGGAGAAGCAATTAGAAGCAGTAGAGTGAGAGTTGAAGGTATTTTAAAGTAAAACTAAAGTGGTAAAGAATTGAATTAGGAAAAGGGAAGATAAAAGAGGAAATGAAAAAACCTCCCGAAGGAGAAGCACGATATTTCCTCAGAAAATTGGATTTTTGACATAATTCAATTGGGAGTTAAAGGGTAACTTGTTGGGGAAGACGTCAATTGAATGGAATCTAGAAAGTGGAGTTTTAAAGAAAAGTGTTACAAGAGAAACTAAATATGAAAAACAAGATTCTTGGAAGTAATGATATCCACCACTTTTGTTACAGCAGAGATAGGGAAGTGGTATCAGGAGGTTGGGAAAGAGGCAGGAGAAGTAATGAGAAACAAACTTACATGAAATTTTCTCAGGAGAAGGCACTGTGAAGTGATGTGAGGCAGGAGAAAAAAATAACTTACTTTGCATCTGTTATGGTTATTCTTTAGATGGACCCCCAAAGCCTCATGCCATCATAAGTAGGTCTTTCTGGAGGTGGCTGGATCTAGGGTGTGCGATGCTGTGATTAAGGGTGTGTAATTACTAAATTAGCTCACTGATTGGTGTGGCACCGTTCTGAGTGTGGCTAATGAAAAGGCCCTCCCTTGGGTGTGAGTGCTACCTACCGTAAGAATGTGTAACCTAGATAAAAATTTAAGGGACAGAAAGAGGGTTGCTGCAGTCACTTATCACTGTACCCTTTTTCAGTACTTTGCTGCTTTGCAGCCTTCTACCTGCCATAAATTGTTTCTCCCCTATGATGCCTCTGTGCCATGCTACCCTGCCTTGGAGCCAGCCAAGTGTGAACTGAAACATCTACAAACTGTGAGCTCTGGTAAATCTTTCCTCCTTTAACTTTGGATGTTAGGTATTTTGTCTCAGGAAAAAGAAAAGTAACTAAGACAGCATCTAAAAATAATTTTGTCATATTTAAGAAAAAAAGTAGGAAATGGGTACAATAATAAAAATGCCAATTAAGAGAAAAGAAACCAATTACTGGCCTTTCGCAATAGATAACAAATGCCATTCAGAGGCTACCAGTGGACTGACTATTCAGTCAGAACTTCACCCAGGAGATTGTCCTGGCTCTGCTGTTCTTCGTGAAATTCAAATAACAGATCCTATCTCTTAGGAATGTTGTAAAGATTATGTAAAATGTGAGATGATACAGATCAAATGTTAGCCTACTTGTGTCTGGCACATTAATAGCAGCCACTACATTAAAAAAAAATTGATCCATGCATGGGAATGGTTTAGACTCTTGACATATTTAGCAGAAAGAGTAGAATTACAAACCACACAAACACAAGTGGGACAATTAGCAACAATTAATAATAGATTGTGAGCAATGGAGTGGAAGTGTCCCGAAAGGCTTGCCGCTCTTACCACGCGAGACAAGGGGCACAGGAGCACCAGGAAGACCTGAAAGAGGTTGCTATGGGACAAAAGTATTTCTGTTACGTATCTGGTTGGAGTGACCTGAGGAAATGAAAAGCCAAGGGTAAAGGAGCGACTAGGAGACAAAGACTTTGCCTGCAGTTGTTTATTTCCAAGTCAGTAGCATGTAAAAATAACTAAATGAGTTCATACAAGCAAAGTGTTGGGGAGAAGATTGGTTGGTCAAGGATGAAAATACAACCTACAACACTTATTTTAAAGGCAGACAGAAGAGCGAAAACTTGAAGAAATTACCTTATAAGAAGTCAAGCTCAAAAGTGTTCACAGATAATTCATTGTGAACATTGGCAAACGAAATATCTACACAGCGTATCTAATGACATAGGCCTGAAAAGTAACAAGCAGATTTGGTAACTTTCTAACAAGACCTTTTCCAATGTGCTGCCCAGAACTCTGTCTGTCCCACCGCTACTGCAGTCAAATTAATTGTTCTCCTCTGTTTATTGACAGCAAGTTTTCACATCTATCAAAGATCCTCTGAAGAATCTGGAAACTTCTTAACTTCTCACTTAGTGTCTGTGTCACTTGGCCTAATTGAGAAATCCTGAATTCCCCGGTCAATTTTGCATTTTATTCATTTTGACTCTCTTGTAACTTTCTTCAAATGAAAATGCCTTCTCGGTGAAGGTACTTTCCTCCCTTTCACTCTTAATATTTAAAAAAAAACTCCTGTATTTTACATTTTAATTCACATATAATTGTTGTCTTGGTTATGGGGTGTGCTGCTATATTCAGTATATGTACACATCGTATAATGATTTATTTGGGGTTAATCGATAGCATTTCCAGTTCGTCACATATTACCATTTCTATGTGGTGGAGATCTTCAGACTCTTCCATGTTTATTTTGAATGTGTAACTAATCTTTGTGGATTATACTGATCCTACTGTGTCATGTTACATTAGGCTTCCTCCTCACCCATGTTTT